ATATAAACAAAACCAATAAATAAAACTGACAGCCATTAATTTGTATGAATGTAAAGAATGCAGAGTCAAAACAAACCATCTAACTAAACATTTTTATATCTAGTTCATATTGCACCAAAAACTCAGTAAATTGTTTAATAGGGGATTTGTTTTATTCCATTTTAGTGTTTGGCCATCAAAGTCCTACTTAATAGGTTTCTAAACAGAAAAAATCATTTCACAAAGGACTTATAATTCTGAATAACCAGTGTACATAACTTAAAAAATATATGTAAACCGAAGCAAGTCTTATGGGTATCTTGTGAAACCATACATCATACCTTTGGGACCTCTCAAATAACAATAATTTCACAGTTTTTTTTTATATTTCTTCAATCACAAACCAATAATTGAATGCAAGAAAAAATAATGAAATAAATATTTATAATTTGAATAATAAAGCATTAAAAATTAATTGCATTTATAATTCATTCTGCTTATAAGACAAATATCTGCTGATTTTTTTACAAAATATAGCAACAGTTCATCCAATGGTTTGCAGGATTGTAGTCTGAGGATTTTACCATACAAGGAAGGCAGCAACAGCAACTCTTTCGACTGAAAAAGAAACAAAGTTAAATTTCAATTGTTGATTCTTAATTTTAAAATAATCTAACGGGAATAAAGAAACAGACATCAGTGTATGTTAAACAATTTGTTTATTACTTATATTAATTACTCAAAAATATAGAGTATCAAAAATATCTGATTTTATTGTTATCTCCCCTTCATATATCTTCTTCAGATCTAGTATCTGCTTTAAAGGGTACATTATTTTGAAATGAAAAGATTGTATACTGATTTTTTTTAATTGTAAATTAAAAAAAAATATATATATTGAAATCTATTTAGTGACATTCATCACACTATAACATAAACACATTAAAGTTGTATGTTGATGAATATGTTCTCACCTTATAACAGCTTTATCCCAGCAAGTAACCCAATGGAAACCTGATGCTAACCTGGAATATAAAAGTAGTCAGTTATACTAAACTTTCCTAAAAAAAATTATTACACATGTACTAAATTTAAAATTGCACTAGGATAACAAAAAATCATGGAAAAAATATTCGGTATTCTGAATTATAAACTCAGTTTTATATTTACCAAAAAAATTCAACCGGTATCTCATCCGTGTACAATTATTTTTTTGGTACTAAAGAACCTTATGAAATTGATTTCAAATATTATATTACTAAAAAGATTCTTGATTACCTACCAACATGTTAACAATATGAGGCATCCAAGTCTTACTCCCAACACCATGAAAACATCATCATTATAACAACCTAAAAATAAAAAAAATAAAAAAATAATTACTTGTTTTACAGATCAATCTGTCTCTAAGAAGACTAACAAAATAATGCTATGTTTCATTTATTGAAATCTGTTATACATGATCATCTTCACTATATAAACTTTAAACTGCTAGAGATAGAAATTGACCTTGTGCAAGTGCACGTATATGTATAAGACAATGATTTTGGAATATTCAATTACAAAATCGGATGGTTTTGTTCTCTTTTGATGGTCTTAAAATCATTTTCATAACAGCGTAGACAACCCCAATACTTATGTTGGTAATAATACTAACTCAATTACTGTAAATTCAGAAACTATTGCAATGTTTTTATTATTGTAAAAAATGCAACATGGTTGTATTGGCAATAATTCAAACTAGCATTTTGAAATTTTTTATATGAATTAAACAGGATTTTTCTCAACATCGCAAAAATTAAAATCCCGTTTTAGTCTAAAATTACACAAGAGTGCACACGCTGAAATGTCTCGCCTTCTTTACTAATCATTGATATTATGTTGATAGTCCTAAATATAAAGCTTTATTACAACTGTCACATAAACTTAACATTAACCAAGTAAACTAAACATTGACCAATGAACCATGAAAATGAGGTCAAGGTCAGATGAACCATGCTAGGCAGGCATGTACAGCTAACAATTCTTCCATACAACAAATATAATTGACCTATTGCTTATAGTTTAAGAAAAACAGACAAAAACACAAAAACTTAACACTGAGCAATGAATCTTGAAAATGAGGTCAAGGTCAAATAAAACCTGCGTGACTGACATATAGATCATAAAATATTTCCATACACCAAATATAGTTGAACTATTGCATATAGTATTAGAAAAAAAGACCAAAACTCAAAAACTTAACTTTGACCACTGAACCATGAAAATGAGGTCAAGGTAAGATGACACCTGCCAGCTAGACATGTACACCTTACAATCATTCCATACACCAAATATAGCTGACCTATTGCATGCAGTATTAGAAAAAAAGACCAAAACTCAAAAACTTAACTTTGACCACTGAACCATGAAAATGAGGTCAAGGTCAGATGACACCTGCCAGCTAGACATGTACACCTTACAATCATTCCATACACCAAATATAGTAGACCTATTGCATACAGTATAAGAAAAACAGACCAAAACACAAAAACTTAACTATAACCACTGAACCATGAAAATGAGGTCAAGGTCAGATGACACCTGCCAGTTGGACATGTACACCTTACAGTCCTTCCATACACCGAATATACTAGACCTATTGCTTATAGTATCTGAGATATGGACTTGACCAAGAAAACTTAACCTTGTTCACTGATCCATGAAATGAGGTCGAGGTCAAGTGAAAACTGTCTGACGGGCATGAGGACCTTGCAAGGTACGCACATACCAAATATAGTTATCCTATTACTTATAATAAGAGAGAATTTAACATTACAAAAAATCTGAACTTTTTTTTCAAGTAGTCACTGAACCATGAAAATGAGGTCAAGGACATTGGACATGTGACTGACGGAAACTTCGTAACATGAGGCATCCATATACAAAGTATGAAGCATCCAGGTCTTCCATCTTCTAAAATATAAAGCTTTTAAGAAGTTAGCCAACGCCGCCGCCGCTGCCGCCGCCGCCACCGGATCGCTATCCCTATGTTGAGCTTTCTGCGACAAAAGTCGCAGGCTCGACAAAAATCGCAATTAATGGTTATTTATTTTGAATTTATTGAACCATAAAATTAATTTTTGACTCTTCACATTGAATAATCCGCGAAGTGGATTATGTAAAATGTGGAGTCAAAAATTAATTTTATGGTTCAATAAATTCAAAATAAATTATAGCCATTCATTATAAATAAATTTCTATCAAAAATAAGGCTCAAAGAACTTTTTATATTATTTATATTAACCATAACAACGTACAAAGATGTTGGCGTATGAATATACGACGTCAGAGTGGGCGTGTCGCCATAAAAATTGACAACATTGAAAATAAAAGTAATACTTTCAACCAATCAGAAGACAGTAAAATACACCAAATTTATTTATTAATAATTGCACACAATAATTTCTGAATTTACAGTACCTTTAACTTGTTTGCCATTGGCTATGGATAACAGTGATTTTACGCTCACTCAGTCTGTCAAGAGGCCTTCCAATAGGGATTTAAATAGAATAAAAGAGCAAAGTACATGTAGGCACAAGAGAAGAAAAAAATAAATAATTATTCAACATTTAAATCAACACAAGGTTTAGTCATTTGCTAGTAATTCGTACTATTTGATGTAGGCATTTAGAACCTTTGGCGACCCCAGTTTAAATGTCTATAACACATTCAATGTGACAAGTGGGCGTTACAGACAAACTTTCACCTTATCTGACCCAGTCAATAGATTACATAAGAGCCCCAAGAAATCGTCTTGTCCACGCTTTTATGAAAATGATTCTATATCAATTCAATATTCAAACAGTTACAGACTTTGCATAAAAATTTGTTCGACCCAAATAAGTTTACAAATTCATTGATAATAACTTGCATACAGTTGGTTTCTATCCAACACAGCTCACTCGATACCAGACAGAAAACAAATGTAAGACTAGATACTCTAAAAATCAAACACTGATAGAAGAGAACCCTTAAAAAATAATGTTAAATGCCTATATATATATATATTATTACCATAAAATTTGTGGAATATATAAACTAACCACATATTTTTCATGGTAAAGCCTCAGACTTGGTGAAGATTAAATTGACCATCTCCCTTAGAGCTGCTCTCCCGGCTGACGAGGTGGCTCTCCTCATCATCTTAACATCTTTTTTTTTTAAATATAGTTTTATACATTAAATATATCAGATGCATTTCAAATAAATCCCCTTTCTTGAAAATTTCAGCAAATCAATTGTTAATGACCCAAGATTTCTCCCACCCTGCATACTTATTATCTAGAGCTCTGCTTACATTTATTTTTTTTTTATTACAGAGCTCTAAATAATAAACAATATTAGCTAGTATACATCTGATATTAAAAAAAATGTACAAACATGAATATCCAAGTAGATGAAAATCCTAACATTGAGGGAATTTCAAGTATTTGGAGTTAAACAGGGGTATAATAAATTGCCTCCCTTTGACCCAAAATTCACCCTGTTCGGACTCCACATCCTTGTTATATTAAACAAAATAAATAAAATAGTACAATTAAAATTAAAAAATAGATTGATAACAAAAATCTAACACATTTCAATAAAATATTTCGTACTGATCGACTTATGGTGGCAGAGTGGTCCTATAAATAGTTCAACTACTGTATCACTAGCCTGTCAACACTGAGAACCCTCACATGAAATGTGTTACTTCATTCTTAATTTGACTAGGGTTTGCCCGTTTCCCTGATGAAAACTGTCTCCACAAATAAAAATTTACAGCCAAAATTATAGTAAATCATGTTAAAGTGGTGTTTAACACCAAAAATCAACCAATCCAATTTCAACAAGATGTTCTTCAACTATGCCTTTTTTAAAATTATACTTTCAAAAATATCACCTTGGTTACAAACCAAAATCAGCTAAAAATGACAAAAAATGTGCAAAAAATATATTTCTAACTTCTTAACTTCGTAAATTCCTCTGCATTAGAGCACCTTGTCACATATCTTAAAGATATTAAAATTAACATGAAAGAAAAGGTTGTAAGGGGATATATATACTGCAGACCATTATTCATCTTTTTAGTTTACACTAGAGAGGCATTTGCTATGGTAAGGTATTTTGAAACGTTGCTAAAAAAAACAAAAATAATTAAAATTTTTGCTAAGAAATTTAGTGGGAATATTCACATCGGCAGATTTAATTGCATCAACTACATGTATAAAGTAACTTGTAAAATTTGAAAGTATCTCAAATCCTTAAATAACACAAAAATGGCAAAAATATATACATTGCAATTTGCAAAAAAAAATACATTTCAATAATTGAACATTTTTTTTTCTTTTTTCTTTCTTTTTCTTAATTTAGATTATCCATTCTTATACTGCTGGAAGTGTTTTGACTAGACATGAGTATAAACGGAAAATAGAAAGAATTTTTGTAATGTCAAATACAAGTTAACCTACAACTTCCAATCTTGTTGAAAATGGAGAATCTTTACATATTTTTTTTTTTTTGTAAAAAAATTATAAACATTTTCTCAAGCATACACAAAAATAGCAATTTATAGTTGCACTTATATCACACAACCATTTTATGCAGCCACAGTTATCTGAATAAGAAATATACATCACTCATGAACATTGAAATAATATTTAATGCAAAACAATTATAATTAACTGAGCATTACAATTATAATGTATAGAACATTTCTTTTTCTTTGTTATAAAGTGATTTGTTGACATAAATTTTAAAGTACCAGTATTTCTTAGCAATAAAAGGATGAAAAACAAGTCATTGGCTGATGTCTTGACAAATATCTTTTTAACATTGTTTTATAGCTAAATATAGTATATCAGGCTATTAACATACTTGATTGAATTTTTTAACATTTAGTCATGTTGAACCTTTATAGCTAACTATAGAATATAGGTTTTGCTCATTGTTGAAGGCATAGGGTGACATTTAGTTGCATCCACATCATTTTGTCTCTGGTTGATAGCTGTCTTATTGGCATACATACCACATTTACATATTTTCATATATGGGAACAACTATAGGTAACAAAAAAACTGAAATCCCAAGATTTGGCATTATACATTATACTTTTTGACTTCCCTTATATATCTTTATATCTCCTAAATTGTTTATTCAACTATAAGTAAAGAAGACATTAATATGTAAGATTTACATCTGTGCCTAACAAAAATCTTGGGCTTTAAAATGCTCTTGGATGAAAAGTTCATAAATCTATGTATTGATTCTTACCATAAAAGTCAGCTCCAATGCCCACTCCCAGCTTCAATCCTTACAGACAAGCTGTGATGCAAACCTGAAATATAAAATGATAATTCATTAATAAAACCCTGTAACTCGGAAACTTAAAATCTAAAATTTATAAAAATCGAAAGGGAGCTTATGTCAATAGATATAAAAAATTCACCACAATTTCTTGCAAGTTGGTGAAAGCATTCTTGAGTTATTGTCCGAAAACTGGAAACCCCCCTTTTTTTAATGAATAAAACCCCACAACTCGGAAACGTAAAATCTAAAATTTATAAAAAACGAAAGGGAGCTCACGTCAATTGATATAGACAATTCACCAAAGTTTTATGCAAATTGGTTAAAGCGTTTTTTAGTTAATGTCCGACATGTTGACGACGGACGGACAACGGTATATCATAATACATCCCGTAAACTGGCGTATAAAAACTGTTTAAAAGGTTCTTTGTTGGTATTATGTATGTATATTGAATAGATTGAATGATTGGTTGTTGGTTGCTTAAGGTCCAGTGGCATATCATTAAATAGAAATAGTCTTAAAATGTGTTATATATGTCAAGAACATATGGATGAGACAACAATCCAACAAGCCAACACATTTTTATGTAAACAATTCAGATCCTAAACTTTACTCTTATTTGGTTACTGATATAATAATAAGAGTAGATTCCTGTAAAAAATCTTTTAAGCGTTCAAATCTTGTTTTTCCATAAAATATTTATAATACATTTGAGTTTTCCAAAACAGGACTAACATACTGGTACATACCTTTGTATTAGCTGTATAAGACCACCAAGTCTTATTCCCACACCATGAAAACATGTCTCAGAAAGAACCTGAAATGAAATTATAATCAACACATTATACATTTTGTAAATCAATTTGTGTGTTACCGATAACCTAAAATTTACTAAATATTGTTCTGATTTCTTATTGCAGGTAGACAATTGTATAAAATCATTTTTTTTTTAAATCAATATAAAAGATAGAAAAGTAAAAAAACGTCAGATTTAAATTTAACTGCACAAAAAATATCTGAATATTTTACAGTTATCTCCCATTGAATGCAAAATCGTGTTTTAAATTGTACTGGCCTTTTCTTGAAGTTTAATGACTATTTTTAGGATTTACTATTGATAATTTAATAGAAAATCTTGTTCATGTATCTTGTATCTTTAAATACTAAACTGGTAAATTAATTCATCAATGGTGTTTTTAAATGCAATATTTCAGAAGGGTCTGTTATCTTAAAAGATCTGGCTAAAATAAACTTGCCTTTTCTATTTTCATGGTAAAGAGTCAGACTTGGTTGAAGATTTAATTGACCATCTTCCTAAGAGCTGCTATCCTGGCTGACAAGGTGGTTCTTCTCAATATCTTATTGTCAATCTATGTTGTGTCCCATTTGTTTTTAGAAAATAAAGTAACATACATAAAAAATATCAGATGCACTTTCAATTAATAAACTTTTTGAAAAATTTCACGTAATTATTTTAAGTGACACATAATTTTTCCCACCCTAAATTTCTATTATCTAGAAAACATCTGATATGTAAAAAAAGTGCATAAATGTGAGTATCCAAGTAAATAAAAATCTAACATTGAGGGAATTTCAAGTATTTGAAGTTAAACACAGTATAATAAATTACCTCCCTTTGACCTAAATTTCACCCTGTTAGAACTCCACGTCTTTGTTATATATAACAAAAAAACATAAATAGTATACCGGTAATCAAAATAAAAAAATAATTAAATTACAAAAATTCAACACATTTCATTAACATATTTAGTGCGGATGGAGTAATGGTGGCTGAATGGTCAAAGTAGTTCAACTACTGTATCACTAGCCTGTCAACACTCTGAACCCTCACATTGAAGGTGTGTTTAACGTCAATCTTAATTGACTAGAGTTGCCAGTTTCTCTGTTGAAGGGGATGTTTTCACCAGGCTGTCTCCACAAATAAAAACTGGCAGCCTAGATATAGCAAATCATGCTGAAAGTGGTGTTAAAGACCTAAAATCAATCAATCTACTTTCATCAAGATATTCTTCAACTATGCTTCTTGCAAAATATTCTTAAAATAATATACCCTTTGTTTATAAACTCAGCTAAAAATGACACAAAGGTGAAAAAATATATTACAATTTGCAAAAATAAAAAACATTTCAATAATTGAACATTTTTTTCTCTTTTTCTTTTCTTTTTTTTTTTTTTTTTTTTTCTTTTTTTTTTTAGATTCTCCATTCTTAAACTACTGGAAGTGTTTTGCCTAGACATGAGTATGAACAGAAAATAGAAAGTAATTTTTGAAATTTCAAAGACATATTAACCTACAACTTCCAATCTTGTTGAAAATAGAGAACCTGTACATCATTTTTTTTTCTTTTTGTAAAAATTATAAACATTTTCTCATACACAAAAATAGTCTGAATTACATTCTTTACTGTTACAGTAAAATCACATAGCCCGTTTATGCAGCTACAGTTACCTGAAAAAGAAATATACAGAATTAAACGTAATTGTCAAAATCTGAAAATTGAAACAATATCAAATGCAAAATAATAAATAACTGGTCATTATAATCATGATTCATAAAACCTTTCTCTTACTTTGGTTTAAAAGTGATTTGCTGATATATTTTTTGAACTACCAGTCTTTATTCTAAAGCAGAAAAGGATGAAAAACAAGTCAATGGTAGATGTCTAACATATTTCTTTTTTTACATATTGTTTTTTTTGTATTGGTTCTTACCATAAAAGTAAGCTCCAATGCACACTCCCAGCTTCAATCTTTACAGACAAGCTGTGATGCTAACCTGAAAAATAAAATGATTAGTCATTCAAGATTGTTTAAAAGGATTAGTTTTGATATACTGTATGTATATTCCATATTTTGAATAATTGATTCATTTGATTGTTGGTTGCTAAATGTCCAGTGGCAAATTAAATAAAAGTCTATAAATATGTAATAGAAGTTGAGAACAGCAAACCAGCATCCCAACAAATTTTTACATAATCAAATCAGATAATTAAATTTACTCCTTTAAAGGCAATTAAAGAAAGCAAAGACTTCTTACCAAACTCCTACAAACCTTCACGCTTAGAGCACATGCTATTTCCAAATACATTTTATAATACTTTTTCTTTTTCAAAACAGGACTAACATACTGGTACATACCTTCGTATTAGCTGTATTAGACAGCCAAGTCTTATTCCCACACCATGAAAACATATCACAGAACAACCTAAAAAGAATTAAAAAAGACACATTATATATTTTACAAATCCATTTCTCTATAAATATAAAGTCACTATATAATGTTCTGATTTCTTACAAAATGTACACAATAGTATCAACACAAGTTTGTAAGATAAACTGTTGACAGAGATGTCTCGCCTAGCAGCGGAAAATGAAAAACATCTGATGATTAGCAACATTGCTAATTAATTCGATAATTTCTTAGAAATGCAAATAAATACAAAGTCATTGATCTATAGCAAGGAGTAACTATTAACCTGACTAAACAGAAAACTTGACATAATAAAAATAAAACAAGTCAAAGGTTTTTGTTTGAAATTTAACTGCACAAAAGTGATGTGCAAATTTAACAGTTATATCCCATTGAATGAACAAATCTTGCTGTTAATTGTACTTGTCTCCCCTTGGTTTTAAATATTTTGATCGAAAATCTTGTTCAAGAAAATGGTAACTTAAATTATAAAACTTATTAAAATTAATACATCAATGGTGTTTTGCATGCAGAAGATCAGAAGGTAGCTGGCGTGTTGTCTTAATATGCACTTCTTGTCGAATATTTCTAGAAAATGTATACAAATATTTGGCTTAAATAAACTTGCCTTCTTAATTTCTTGGTAAAGCCTCAGACTTGGTTGAAGATTCATTTGACCATCTTCCTTGGAGCTGCTATCCTGGCTGCTTTCAAAGGTTTTCCATCATAGTTTTTTATGCTAATCAGTCCACTGAATCCATTTAATCTAAGTAATGAAATGTCCTTTCCATTGTACATTATAAAATGTACAATAGTCACCAGAATGTTCCAAGGCATCTCACATTATTTTTCCAATCAAGGAAACTGAAGAAATTCTCAATTTAAAATACAAATAATTTATTAAATTCATTTAAAAGGTACTGTAAAAATACCAGACATGCTTTTAAACAGGTACCTTGTATTTTGATAGTTTAAGAAATGTATTCTGTACCCCACAATTTCTTCCACTCATTAAAAGTATATTTTAGAACTATGTTTACATTTTTTTTTATTTACATAGCTCTGGATAATAGCTTTTATATAAGTTACCAGACATCTGATATGAAAATACTTCTACAAATGTAAGAAAAAAAGTACAGTGTAGTAATAGTATAATAAACACATATAAATCAACATTTTTTTAATATTTTGAAGCATAGTTTAAACAAAAATATCTCATTTTCAAGGTTTACTACTCATGTACATAGTAGTCATGTATAGTCCCAAAATTTGTAAAAGCCTCTATAGATTTGCAAACTCTCTGTGAATTCCAAAAGATATGGGTTAAAAACTATTTATTTTACCTTTGATGAAAAATTACGTAGTTCCCTAGTCAGGAAAAAAATTATCAAACAATTCCATAGTACCAAGTGGACAACTTAAATATTTGTACAATCATTGTGTGAAGTTAAAAAGATTGAGATTGAAAACTGCAGGAGTTGATTACACAAAATCAGTACCATCTTTGAAAATTTTGGAAAACAATCATCAAGATCAGAATTAAGGGAAAAATGGGGGGAAATTCCTCAAACAATTTCATATAAGCAGGTACACAACTTCAAAATGTACGCAATTATTGTGAAGTTTCAGTGGTACAAGAAAAAGAAGCTGAAATGAAAAAATATAAATATGATGCAAAATGATATTACATGTATCAAGTATGAAATCTTTAGATTTAATAAAAAAATTTAGAAAGAAAAAATTAAGAACTCAAAGAAATGATATAAATACTGATTCTTTATAATAAAAATTAATTTCAATACTTTATAATTTAAATTAATTTCAAAACTCAAATGGCACGTAATACTTCAATAAAATAGATTTTTACTTTTTACTTTAGTTTTATACTTGAAAGAAAAATAGTAGCAAAATTTACAATTGAAAAAGTAAAATTTTTAGTTCCCAGATTATTTATGATAGCATTTTTGATTGGTTATATCAAAATTTGTTTTATGTAAGATTACTTCCAATGACTTTTGTCAGAAAAAGGGAAAATCACTGATATCTTGACAATAATGGACTGAGGCAAGGTTACTACACTTTCCGGAATCATTGGTTCCTTAAATGGATAAGAACCAGAAGCAGCCAATGTACAGACTTACAGGAATCAGCTCTTTTTTGCTACGGGAAAAGAAAACAGATTACCAGTTAAATCTAAAATAGTCTGGTTATCTTTAACTTTTTTAGTGATTAAATCCCGAAAGTCTGAAACAGGGTCTAATATAAATCTAAAACTGCTTGGTTAACAGAACTTATTGTATGCTATCGCTCAGGCAAAAATAATCACGTATATAATGCCTACCCATGTTAAAACTACAATAAAGTATAGCTTGCAACAATTATTTCTTAATTATTATGGACTAATGGAAAACTCCTTTGAACTATTGAGGCTAAAGTTGGATCCCTGTTAAAGAGTCAAGCTCTTAGATTACTCTTTGTCTGGCCATGAGTTTCAAAAAGGATCCAATGAAGAATAGCTGCAGTCAGTTATTGATAATTGGGTTTTACTTATTTTATTTTTTTAAAGTATTTTATGATGGCAAGTGCTTTACCTATATTGTAATTACCAAATTTGAAAAAGATAGAATGGTTTGATACCAAGGAGCAAATTAATTTATGTTGTAATTCAAACGGTATGATAGGGTTAAGATCAGTCTAATACCTTTTTCAATAAAAGATCTAAATTGTATAAAATGAGCTATATTTCAACAAACTTATGATTTGAAATTTGAAATTTTTGTGTTGTACAATCTACTCCTTTTCATGTACACATGATAAATAGAATAAAATAGACCAGTTTTCAGCTCCTTTTTTGTGATCTTGAAATGATCCTGCTCACTGTCAATACTTTTGACTGCAAAATAGAAAAATTGTTTCAAGAAGCTGGACAAAATTATCCTTTAATATATTGATCACAGAATGGCTTGGGAAGTTAAAAAGATTAATTTTCTATTAAACAGCAAATTTTTACAAAGAAATGCTTAAACTCAAGACAATTTAATTTTACAAATTACGATGAGCAATTGTTAAATGGGACTAACAAGTAAAATTAAAACATTAATACCAGTTGTCAATTATGGTCTCATAATAATGAAGTTATCATTAAATGTCTGGAATCTGTGGATGAAAACCTAGTTTTGAAGGTGAGAGTTGAAAATTAACCCAAGGTTGAGAAGCTTGAAGCAAAGGGAGATAACTACTGTAAGATATCGGGATTGATAAGTTAGATAACTCTTCACTTGGAGATGATGATAGTTTCAGATAACTCAAAATGAAGTTTTTAGGGTATTGGAAATCATTATAAATTTCGTTGGTCATCTCAACGAGATTGATTTTCTCCCTTGAGCCGGTACCGCAAAAGTGAGAAAAACAATCAAGTTGAGATGACTAATAATAATCTGTTTATCGCTATTTTGCTCATGACGACGTTGAAATTTACATTGACAATGGCACATGCAGCCTGAGTTTCTAGAGATACTTTCCATATCTTTCTACTATGCCGAAAAAGGAAATTATCAGTAAGATCAAAGGAAAATTCAGTAAAATAGTGATAATAATATATATATCATAGAAATTTATTATTGTTTACCAAATATTAAGACTTGTACAAGCTTTCAGTCATGTAAGAATTAATAACCTTTGCGATTATGTTTATAACTCTATAATAAATGTAGATTAAACATCCAAATTCTTTTTTGTATGGCAGAATTTTCGTTATGGCTAATTGACTGTTATAAAAATGTATTTTTATTACTTTATTATTATTTTAATAGCGATCAGTGCTTTAAAGATGTAGATACCCAGAAACAATTTTGAAGAAGATAAAGTATATCTAAAAAACTTTTGGGATTATTTTCCACTTCCCCTGAATTCAACTTAATTTACGAGAATATGTTATCAAGTTTTCCATTTCCAATACATCATAATATGTCAAATACAATTTAGATTTTGATTTTGATTGAAGATATTCATTTTCAATTTTGAAAAAAAGAAATTAAAGAAAGTATGAAAATCGTACAGATTCAAACTTAAAAGCAGCTTTATGCTCAAACATTTATTTTTTTTATGACTAGAAATATCAAATATTTTTCATTTCAGAATTACACATATAGATTCCTTCGAATGGTAAACACCACACCCTAAATACCTCAAAACCAAAGAACCATCCAAAGAACAACTGAAACAAACAGAAGATATAACCAACCCTACTACTTAAACACCAATAAGCAACTTTGTTATATGTTAGTAAAGACACGCAGCGCTCCAAGCATAATGTATTTCTGAAATGATAATTTGATATTTGTTAAGTCTACACCAAAACTCTGAAGATAAAGAATGTTTTGCTTCGGAACTTTGCATGCACTAGACTATGAGTTTAAATCAATTTCAAGTACTATGTTATTCTATAATCTGACAACTACAATGCTTTGAAAATGTAAAAATTTTAGGAAAATTATTTCATTATAAATCTGAAATTTTGATTTAAATGACATCGTTTTTTTTTAACGAAGAACCAAAAAAAATGCATTTACTCATTATCTTTTGATTTTGCCATTTGATTAGGGACTTTCCGTTTTGACTTTTCCTCAGCGTTCAGTATTTTTGTGATTTTACTTTTTTTTTCACTACAAAAAAAGCACTGATAGAACTTTAAGACAATGTTAAAAAAAACTTTCAATCGTTGGATCAAATGACAGTCTGTAGTGGTGAAAATACAGAGAAATTAATCATAACCAGGATAAACCTCATCTGAAGTTATTGCAACTATCATCATCTCTGTATTGATAACTTTTAATATTAAATTAACACCCCAAATATAAAGAAGGCGTTATACCCTGGGTTAATCTCCAACTTATATATTTAGCTTCTTATGTTGTTGCACATTAATAGATGCATAATTTAACTATTGAAAATTATGGACAAATCTTTTACTGCATTCAAGAAG